GAGATTCTGACAGAAGGTTGGCGGTTCGAATCCCCGTGACGGGGGTGAACTCCCGTTGTTTGGTCCTTGCTCCTGCCAACCTAGCAGTTCAAAAGCACTTCAAAGTGCTAGTAGATAAATAGGTACCGCTCCAGTGGGAAGGTAAGCGGCGTTTCCGTGCACTGCTCTGGTTCACCAGAAGCGGCTTAGTCAGCCAGTAAAGTGAGATGAGCGCCGCAACCCCAGAGTTAGCATCCCCAAACTTGGCCAGCCAGATGTTTTGGGACTACAACTCCCATCATGCCTAGCGAACAGGACCAGTGGTCAGGGATGATGGGAATTGTAGTCCTAAAGCATATGGAGGGCTGAGTTTGGGGATGCCTGCCTTAGAGGCAATATAATGGGTAAATGACTCCAATCAGGAAAATTCATCAGCACTGTAGTATACATTTCGTCCAAGACACACATTTTGTGCGCATCGTATATGGATTTTCCCCAATGCAATATATTTTGTATGTAATTTTCACCAATATGCACATTTTATCCATTATTTCCTCTCCTAAAAATGCATTTTTGTAACACCTTTCGGGATGGGAGGGACTGCATTGCACAATTCAGAGAAACATGAATTCCAAAGTTTAGCTGTGTTTTGGTGCCAGTGTCGTTTGAGGAGGCGCAACTTAACATGCGAATCAAACCAAATTTCTTCCCATAAGGGATCACTGCAGATCTTTCAGGGCTTTGTGTTATATTTCAACAACGATATAATGAAGAAATGCTTGAGAATAATTTCGTCGCAAATGTTTCTGTATTATGAACTTCTGTTTTATATGTGATCTGTGTGAATAATGGATGCTCAGTTGCTCCAGTTGCTTTCTCTGGATATGGGGGGCGGGGAGAGGAGCACCTTCTGTCTCTCTCACTCTTGTTCTGTTTGCGCAATCCCAGCAAGATGCCATCTACTATTCTGTGCCACAGGAAATAAATGAGGAGAAATTGGAGTGATGAAGGAGAACCTACAACAGTTGCTTAGATGGGGCTGCCTTCTCTCCCATCTCTGCATGAAAAGCTTCAGCTGCCAAATTCTGTCTCCTGCACAGCTGTTAAGAAGAGTACAGAGGTCTTGCCTTCCTTCGCATCTGGCCACCCTTGAAGGAGCACCATAGGTGGTGAAGGAGAAGGAGGATGCACCTGGAACACACAGCGGCAGTTCAAGGAATCTGCTGTTACGGTAATGCTCGTTTCTGTTGTTGCTGCAGGAAGGAGAAGCTTAAATGAGCAACATCTCTCCTGCATTTTGCTAAATGCCTTCTTTACACACACGGGCATGTTCTCCAGAAGAAAAGCGACAGATTTAGTTCCCTTCGTCACCAACAGCTGTTCCCAGCTTTAATTATGCGCGGCACACAAACAGCATCTCAAATCAAAATGCTTTTCTTTGGGAGAAAGGGGGAGGGAGAATTATTCCCTCTTTGAAACTCCAATTTGTGCATAGATTTATCGCTATAAACAGGATATTAGAGCCACAAATGTGATCACTTATTTTTAATGAGTGCTTCAGAGTTAATCCATTTTACTCTCTGGATGTTCTCAGCTGCCTTTGACATAATTACATTCCTGTTATCTTTAATTCACAACACACCCCTTCATACGAAGCAATCTCTTCTTCACCTTTCATCTCTCCCCCCTTTTTGAAACGTGCTTCAATTTGTACCCATCACATGAAGCTGGTGAAGGGTTGAAGAAAAGCGTAACATTTTAAATGGGGCGGGGGGGGCGGAGTTTGAAAGCACTCCTCTGTCTTCCAAGCAAACAAACATTTTCCTCTCCAGATCTGAACCTCGAAACAAAACAGTTTGGAGCAGGGCGGGGGGGAATCCCGTATGGATGACACTAATTGGCTAGCATCCATGATGTCACAACAACCCTGACTGGTTTTAAAACAGTGTTTTCAAATGTCTCAATTTTCAGACAGGGAAGGGATAAATGTAAAGTATAAACAGACATCTGGCATCTGGTAGAGGATGGTTGTGGGTACACCTAGCCTGAAGCTGAGGAGGAGTATGATTCGTGGCCAACCTAGGTCACATTCACACCATGCATGATACCTCTTTAAGCAGTCATGGCTTCCCCGAAAGAATTCTGGGAGCTGTAGTTTGTTAAGGGTGCTGAGAGTCGTTAGGAGACCCTACCGTCCCATATCCCTACTTAACGTGGATTATAAAATTTTTGCAGAAATTATGGCTAAAAGATTAAAAAATGTATTGGTGAAAGAAATCCATAAGGACCAAGCGGGCTTTCTCCCGGGGAGGCATTTGTCAGATAATACGAGGAATATTATTAACATTTTAGAAAAACTACAAGTTAACATTAATACCAAAGCAGTTCTAATATTTGTGGATGCGGAGAAAGCCTTTGATAATATTTCTTGGAGTTTTATGAAGAAAAATTTACAGGGGATGGGGGTAGGCCAAAGTTTTGAAAACGGTATAGGTGCAATTTATTCGGAACAAAAAGCTAAGTTGATTGTAAATAATGTAGTTACAGAAGAGTTTAAGATAGAGAAAGGAACAAGACAGGGTTGCCCAATCTCCCCATTGCTTTTTATATCGGTCCTGGAGGTTTTGCTTAACATGATCAGGAAAGACCAATTGGTTAAAGGTATACAACTCGGAGCTAAACAGTATAAATTGAAAGCTTTTGCTGATGATTTGGTTTTGACACTACAGGAGCCAGAATTCAGTACAAAAAGAGTATTGCAATTAATCCAAGAATTTGGTCAAGTAGCAGGTTTTAAATTGAATAAGATGAAAACTAAGGTGTTAGAGAAAAATCTTACAGAGATTGAGAAAGAGAGGTTTCAGAAGGAGACAGGATTAACATTGGTTAAGAAAGTGAAATATCTAGGGGTTCATATGACTGCTAAAAATGTGAATTTATTCAAAGATAATTATGAAAAATGTTGGATAGAAGTAAAGAAGGATTTGGAAATATGGTCAAAATTGAAGTTATCATTGTTGGGCCGCATTGCTGCGATAAAGATGAATGTATTGCCTAGGATGTTGTTTTTGTTTCAAACATTGCAGATTTTGGACAAGATGGACTGTTTCAAGAAATGGCAGAGAGATATTTCAAGATTTGTCTGGCAGGGCAAGAAGCCAAGAATAAAATTTAAGATTTTAACTGATGCTAAAGAAAGAGGTGGATTTGCCCTGCCAGACCTTAAACTTTATTATGAATCAGCCGCATTTTGCTGGCTGAAAGATTGGCTGCTTCTTGAAAACACGGACACTTTGGATTTAGAAGGTTTTGATAATGTTTTTGGATGGCATGCATATTTATGGTATGACAAGGTTAAAGCACATAAGGCCTTTAAGAACCATATTGTCAGGAAAGCATTGTTTAATGTCTGGGTGAGATACAAGGATTTGTTGGAAAATAAAACACCAAGGTGGTTGTCACCAATGGAGGCTAAGGCTCTGAAAAAAACTAATATGGAGACAAATTGGCCAAAATATTGTGAAATTTTAGAACAAGATGGAGATAAACTAAAGCTGCAGAGTTTTGACAAACTAAAAACTAAAGTTCGAGACTGGCTTCATTACTACCAAATAAGGGAGGCTTTTAATTTAGATAAAAAGATTGGTTTCCAGGAGGAAAAATCAAAATTGGAAACAGAATTGTTAGATCCTAAAACTAAGAATTTGTCAAGAATGTATAACTTGCTGTTGAAATGGAATACACAGGATGAAACGGTTAAATCTGTTATGATTAAATGGGCACAAGATTTTGGACATAACATTATGTTTGCTGACTGGGAACAGTTATGGACCACAGGTTTGAAATTTACGGCATGTAATGCCTTAAGAGAAAATATAATGAAAATGATTTATAGGTGGTACTTAACCCCAGTCAAGCTAGCAAAAATCTATCATTTGCCAGATAGTAAATGTTGGAAATGTAAAGAGACTGAGGGTACATTTTTTCACCTTTGGTGGACATGCCCAAGGATTAAGGCTTTCTGGGAAATGATATATAATGAATTGAAAAAGGTATTTAAATATACCTTTCTGAAGAAACCAGAGGCCTTTCTTCTGGGCATGGTCGGCCAATTGGTGCGAAGGGAGGATAGAACTTTCTTTATGTATGCTACAGCAGCAGCAAGAATACTCATTGGGAAGTACTGGAAGACACAAGAATTGCCTACCCGAGAAGAATGGCAGATGAAAGTGATGGACTACATGGAACTGGCTGAGATGACCGGCAGAATTCGAGACCAGGGAGAAGGGTCGATGGAAGAAGATTGGAAAAAATTCAAAATATATCTTCAAAAATACTGCAATATAAAAGAATGTTAGAAAGAGGTTGGAAAAAGAATATTAGGTCGTTCTGGTAGATATGATATAATGGACTAAGCAAAAATGAGTTGTTGAAATTGATGAAATAGAGGAGGTTTAATTACATTATTTTAATTTTAAAATACGTAAATGAAAATAAGGTTAGAAGGATTTGCTGGAAATACGATCTGAACTAGAATACAAAATTGGGAGGTGAGAGGAGGTCATGGAAATAAGTAAAGGGAAAAAGGCTAAGTAAAGGTTTAATCTGTTTTTGTTTTATTTTAACTTAATGTATTTTTATATTTTTTGTTAAGTCTTCTTTTTTATTCTATTTTATTGTTCTTTTTTATTTGTTCATTCTACGCTTTGTTATGGTTAAAGTTTTCTTTGTATTTTGTATGGTTTCTCTCTTTCTTTTTTGTAACTTTAAATTTGGAATAAATATCATTTATAAAAAATAAAAAAAAGAGAGTCGTTAGGAGACCCTTATTCCCCTCACAGAGCTACAATTTATAGAGTGGTCTAACAATCAACCCATCTTCGCAAGGAACTCTGGGAATTGGGGCCTCCTAGCAAGTCTCAGAGATCTTAACAAACTACAGCTCCCAGAATTCTTTGGGGGAAAGACATGACAGTTGAAAGTGACATCACAGTGCTTTAGCTTTAGGGTGTGAATATGGCCTTGGAGGTGGGGTAGAAGTTTGGTTCAGGTCACATTTTAAGAAGGACCTTCTCAATTTTAATTTCCCCAATCAATATGTGAACTAATACACAGGCATTCTTGTAAATTTATACTTCTCTGAGTTTCGCAGTGTAGATTTTTCAGCTGAGTAAGTTCTACAAAAAACATATATACTAAGGGGAGTTGCTTGCAAAAATGTGTATATTGTGAGAAATGCCCATTAAAATGCTGGTGAATTTTCATGAGACTTTTGTAAATAAAAAACATCACAAACTGATGTGGAAATGTAGAAATTAAAATTTAAGATTGTCTGCCTATAGAATTGCAAGGCCAAGGTACTTTAAGAGCCCTCTGTGGTCTCTCTCTCTCTCTGTTATACCTCTTCTCAATCCAAAGTTTAAAGTTCTGTGCTTGGGTCATGCCAGATAGGAAAATGTGGGCAATTTTCACAGTAAAACCTCTTGGGACATATCCTTAAAAGTCTCATTTCAGGTGCACATGAATCTCTCTGCCTTTATTTGAAGTATCATTCATTCTGTGCTGCAGAGCACAATTATGCTCAAGTGTCTTTCTAACTGCTTCCCAGATGGAAAGTTCAGATTCATCCTGTACCGTGAATGTTAATGAAACAACATGACAAACATTTCCTGGAATACGACATCAATGAAATGAGCTGAAACAAAGCATTCAGGCTGAAATCTTCCTTGGCGTTTCTTATGCTTCCATTCAGAACAGGGCAACCGAAATTATCAAAGAGGTGAGCAAGTCCCATAGGAGGACAGGATGCAACCATCAGGGCTTTTAAGTTTAATTTCTCAAAATTCAGTATGTTCCTCCCTGTCCAAAACGGTTGGTGAACCCCTGCTGCAGGCCTGCCAGGCGACTGAATAAAACTCTCTTTAAAAAAACATTCATGGAGTGTGAATTCAGTAAGCAACATTTGACAGACAATGCTCTAGAAGATGGCAGTTGCAGCAACCAAACAGCGTCTATTATCTGCCTTTTTAAAACACCCCAAACTTGTTATATTGGAGATACAATTTGCGGAAAGAACGTGATCCTCAGGAAAAAAGCTATTATTTTATCCAGAGGTGGTGAAATTACTGGCAGAGAAATGGAGACATTTCCTAGAAAAAGCCAGATGTACAATATTGTACTATTATTGGCAGGAATAATCATCCGGACAATGGGGAAAGATGAGCCTCAGCGTTTGAACTACCTTAGAGATGTCAGTGGAAGATATATATTTTTTGACTTGTTGCTGAGGTGTAGTAGAGTTAGCCTTGCACTGATGAAAGAGAAGAGCCTGTTAAGGAGCTGGCTGGCTGCTGAGTCACAGCTGTACGTGATCTAGTTAGAGAAGGTTGCCCAATAGTGTCCCTGAAGAATGGAGGGGTGTGCATGTGTTTGCATGTGCACACACATGTGCATGCTGGAGGAGAAACTCTATAACCTAAAACAGAATGATCCCTATTAGGAACAGTTCCTGTTTTCTGGTACCTGTCCCAGGTGAACCACTGTCCCTATCTGGCCATTGGAGGAGAGCTGGGGATGCTTCTTAAACATTTTGTTAGTGTACACAGCCATGCAGTAGAGTTAGGAAGTGGAGATGGAATTCAGTGCCATGCTATGGCGAATGTTCTGTCTGCAAGCGTTTCAGCTTGCCAAATGGAATGATTCTCCCTCTCTTCCCCCTGTTCACTGTTTTGGGGTTCTCCTGACTCCCCCAAAACAATTAGGGAGAGAAGTGAGGGGACCGTTATGCAAGCGAAAGTCCTTGTGCAGGGTTTCTGATGGGGATCGTAAGTGTTAGGATGCGTCCAAGGGAATGGGGGCAATTGGCAGGCCCCCAGCTGGCTCCAGCCCACCGGCAGGCAGCCGAGCGATCTCCGGTCCTTGGATCAACTGTGACTCAAACCTCAGAAACCTTCAGAAGCTGAGCATGCAAGCCAGCAGAGAAAATAACTCTTTGCAACAGAAGGGCAGAGAGAGGCTGTGTAAAGTGTATTTAAAGGTAAAGGGACCCCTGACCATTAGGTCCAGTCATGGCCGACTCTGGGGTTGTGGCGCTCATCTCACTTTATTGGCCGAGGGAGCCGGCATTCAGCTTCCGGGTCATGTGGCCAGCATGACTAAGCCGCTTCTGACGAACCAGAGCAGCGCACGGAAACGCCGTTTACCTTCCCGCTGGAGCGGTACCTATTTATCTACTTGCATTCTGACGTGCTTTTGAACTGCTAGGTTGGCAGGAGCAGGGACAGAGCAATGGGAGCTCACCCCGTTGTGGGGATTCGAACCGCCAACCTTCTGATCGGCAAGTCCTAGCCTCTGTGGTTTAACCCACAGCGCCACCTGCATCCCAAAAGTGTATTTACAGACATTTTATTCAGCATCAGGACAACGGGAAAAACATGTCTTCTCCCCTTCGTGTCCAAGCAAGCAGTATAAGCAAAAGCTATACACAAGGAATTTCCCAGCAAGCTGTGCTGGAATGTAAACAGGCATGTGACACACAACAGCCTGTTCCTTTTAAGGTGGAACGGAATATCTTAACAGTATGATGAATTCTACCCTGAAGGCTGTATCCAACAAAAATCCTACTCAGGAGACCCACTGAAATTAATTAGCCTGTGTTAACCATGTCCATTATTTTCAGTGGGCTTACTCTGAGTGGGACTAACATTGACTATAACCTCTAGAAAGTTGCCTTGTACAGGTCAGGATATTTGCATGACCTTCTCTGATCTCTTACAGTGGCTCTATAGGGTCTCTCTATAGAGCGCCAGTGTGGTGTAGTGGTTAAGAGCGCTAGTCTCGTAATCTGGTGAACCGGGTTCACTTCCCCACTCCTCCACATGCAGCTGCTGGGTGACCTTGGGCTAGTCATACTTCTTTGAAGTCTCTCAGCCCCACTCACTTCACAGAGTGTTTGTTGTGGGGGAGGAAGGGAAAGGAGAATGTTAGCCACTTTGAGACTCCTTCGGGTAGTGATAAAGCGGGATATCAAATCCAAATCCAAACTCTTCTCCCTTTGTAAAAAGCAAAATAAAAAAGGGAGATGTTAGGGATCGAACCTGGAGGTATCTGCATGCCAACCATGTGCTCTACTACAGAGTTATGATCAGTCCCCAAGGCAACTGTAGTTCCCATTTTCAGTGCTTACATCTAGATCTGCAGCTGTTAAATTTCTGAAGGAGAAAGGAGAATCATAGAATGGTAGAGTTGGAAGGGATCCCTAGGGTCATCTAGTCCAACCCCCCTGCAGTGCAGGAATCTCAGCTAAAGTATCCATGACAGATGGCCATCCGACCTCTGCTTTAAAACGTCCAAAGAAGGAGAGTCCACCACCTCCTGAGGGAGACCATTCCACTGCCTTCAGATGTCTTCTAAAGGTTGTATAGTTATTTATCTCCTTGACATGTGATGGGAGGGTGTTCCACAAGGTGGGTGCCACTGCCGAGAAGACCCTTTTCCTGGTTCCCTGTAGCTTTGCTTCTCGCATTGAGGGAACTGCCAGAAGGCCTTTGGAGCTGAATTTCAGTGTCCGGGCTGAACGATGGGGGTGGAGATGCTCCTTCAGGTATACAGAGCCGAGGCCGTTTAGGGCTTTAAAGGTCAACACTAACACTTTGAATTGTGCTCGGAAACGTCCTGAGAGCCAATGTAGGGTCCACAAATCCCATACTCTGTTTCTCCTGACCCTCCATTTTACCCAAACCTTTGGATCCCCAGTAACCTACCAAAGAGTAGCTAAGGGTGCTCTTCTCAAGATATGAGGGGCTTGGCCCACACCTCTTCCTCCTCCATCACTACTACAACCGCTGGTAATTTGAGCACTATAGTATCTCTTCTCTCATTTGTGAAATGTCAGGTGTTATTCTATAAAAGGAGTTAGTCCTGTAAAGAAGGGAGACGATCAAAGTCAAGCAGGCAGGTGAGAGCCATGTACAACACATCGAGCTCTTTGGAAGTAAAGTGAGATTAAAATGCAACAATAAATAAATAAATGCACAAACCAATAACTCATGATATTCTGTACCAGGGGTTGGCAACCTAAGGCCTGGGGGCCAGCTGTGGCCCAATCGCCTTCTCAGTCTGGCCCATGGACGATCTGGGAACCAGCATGTTTTTACAGAATGTGTCCTTTTATTTAAAATGCATCTCTGGGTTATTTGCGGGGCATAGGAATTCATTCATTTTTTTTTCTTTTCCAAAATATAGTCCGGCCCTCCACAAGGTCTGAGGGACGGTGGACCGGCCCACAGCTGAAAAAGGTTCTGACCCCTGTTCTGTACCATGGTGGTGAAACTACTCTGGTCACAGACATGATACGAAACCATGCAATTGGCCCTAAGCACATGGAAGGGAGATGAAGAAGTTGCTTGGAGACTCATGTTTGCCTGGGATGTATCCTGCCTGACAAAAGAAAGAGGTGCACCAGTTTTTCCAGTTACCGTACTTGTGCCTTTGTCCCAGCCCACGACTGGCATGTGGCTCTTAAATGGTACCCCAGAAAGAAATGTGGCCCCAGGGCTGAGAAAGAAGGCATTTCCACCCATGCCATAGATATGTGGATGCAACATCATGGCCGTGGATGAGCATCTTAGCCAGTTGGGTCTGATCAGCCTAGGCAGCCTTTGGCTCAGAGCATTCCTCAGCAAACTGTACTCCATCTGTCCTCTTAAGCAAACAAAATCTGTTCCTGTTGTGTTTGGAGGCAAATTCTCAAAGATGTCTCTGCTAACAAAGAGCAGGCAGAACAAACTCCTGGTGCTTCATGAGCCTCAGATGTAAACACAGAACTCAAATCCAGCTACAAGAGCTTGTGCTTGCCCTTTCCCCCTCCTGGCCACTGAAACATAGCAATGCTTTCTTTTTCTGCCTGGCTTTGTTTGCACAGCAAACCAAAGAACTCGAGGCTGACTAGCTGGGGCTGATATTGTGCAATAGGCAGCATGACATGCTTTCCATTCTCCCTTCTGTTTCAAAAGGGTTCTTCTTTTGTCAGGCCCCTCAGCCATCCTGCTGTCCTCATGTTCATGGTGGCTAAAAAGCTATGGCTGCGTCTCAAAAATTGGGTGCAGCACCCACGGTTGCCTATATCCCTAGCATATGATCAGAGGCACTGGGTTCAAAGCAATGAGGTCAAACCAGCTGTCGCCTACCAGCTGAAGAAATGGGCTAAGCCAACATGGATGTAGCTCCAGGTGTTGTTGGAACTACAACTCTCATCATCCCTCACCATGCTGGCTGAATCTGCTGGGAGTTGTAGTCTGGCAACATCGAAAGGACACCATGAGCTAAGCTGTCTGCCATGTTTACATGCAGAGCTGTGGCTGCATCATGGTGCCCTTGATGGCAGGCAGAGAAAGTGAAGTATAAATATGCCACAAAGCAACAGATCCTGAACCGGTGCAAGTTACTGCGTGTGAGCCCTGGCACAAGTCAAACTAAATTCTAAGCCCAAAAGTCTGTGTGAACAATGCAAACTTGTGGCTCTGAGAAGTTCCACACTCACATACTGTATTGGATTCTGTTACTTTTGTCTACATTGCATCGTCAGTTCAGATCGAAACATGGACTCAAGGGGTTTCCACACCCAGACAAATGTCCATGGTGAATCTTGAGATCTTACCTGAAATAAGAACAGAAGAGGATCCCTGCTGGATCGGACCAATGACCCATCCAGGCTAGCATCCTGTTCTCACAATGGCCAATCAGATGTTCCAGATTGGAAGCCTAAAAGCAGCACTTGAGTGTAACAGTGCACTCCCCACGCTTGATTCCCAGCAACTGGAATTCAGAGGCAGTATGGTGGTAAAATAT